AGAAATAGAGATCAGAATTCTATGAATTCAACTCATTGTAGCGAGTTTTTGTAGAGGTATACCAAAATGGAACCGGCCAAGAAGTACGTACGTAGTGAACTCGACACCCCTATTGACACCTTGAGTAAGGCCGCCGTCACCCATTGCGTCTCAGCAATTGACGGACAGTGGGTGTTAAGTTGTCTCTTTAACGGTTAGTTAAAAACACTATGCCACGAAACATTAGTCTTTGTACTTCAAAATTGCTGTCAAAACACAATAGAAATTTTGGGAGCCATCCAAGTACCCGCGACTTAGCCGAATCGCGACTTACCGAGGCGCGACTTAGCGAGGGGCCACTGTAATTTAAAACATGGTAAATATTACAACTATATCATGAAATATACAATTTGGTATGTATTCTTACCCCAGCTGGAACGTTGTATCCACTGACAACAATATCCGTCTCCAGTATACGACTAACGTTGACAACGGGAGGATATAACCTGAAATATCACATGAAACTGATGTTATAGCGAGAGTCTCAGATTATCACAGAAGTTAACAAATCTCTATGTAGTAGGGGACATGTCTTGCCATTTTAAATGGCAAATTTTAATTTGGTACATTTACAATGTGTTAGGTTTAATGTGACAACTGATTATATGTTTGGTAGTTCAACACATAAGTCTCCAGTACTAAATTAGGTCAAACAAATTCAAATACATATTATACAGACCTGATGACCTTCATGTTTTATTATTTGGTAAATTAGATTGTTCCAAAAAAAAAAATTCCTCAGAAATACACAAATTATGTAGGAGATGGAATAAGTGTAGGAAACACCATGTGGTGTTATTATACTAGCTAGGCAATACTTATACACTAGCTAGGCAATACTTATACACTAGCTAGGCAATACTTATACACTAGCTTGGCACTTATACACTAGCTTGGCAATACTTATACACTAGCTAGGCAATACTTACACACTAGCTAGGCAATACTTATACACTAGCTAGGCAATACTTATACACTAGCTTGGCAATACTTATACACTAGCTAGGCAATACTTATACACTAGCTAGGCAATACTTATACACTAGCTTGGCAATACTTATACACTAGCTAGGCAATACTTACACACTAGCTAGGCAATACTTATACACTAGCTAGGCAATACTTATACACTAGCTTGGCAATACTTATACACTAGCTAGGCAACACTTATACACTAGCTAGGCAATACTTATACACTAGCTAGGCAATACTTATACACTAGATAGGCAATACTTATACACTAGCTTGGCAATACTTATACACTAGCTAGGCAATACTTATACACTAGCTAGGCAATACTTATATACTAGCTAGGCAATACTTATACACTAGCTAGGCAATACTTATACACTAGCTTGGCAATACTTATACACTAGCTTGGCAATACTTATACACTAGCTAGGCAATACTTATACACTAGCTTGGCAATACTTATACACTAGCTAGGCAATACTTATACACTAGCTAGGCAATACTTATACACTAGCTTGGCAAAGTCAACATAATTTTTCCATCAACAAACCATTCTCTAATTTCTAACATCTGTTTACATCTGAACCGACCACATCTTTTAAGTTTCCAGCAAGGAATAACAGCCTGTAACATCATGGCTTGGTTTTCATTAATGTGAGAAATCAACAGTTGCAATACAACCAGGGTATAACTCAAATTATTAAATTATACTGCATTTCAAGTTCCACTAACCTTGTCGTTTCCTTTAAAATTGCTTTCAGATAAGGGAGTTTATTGATATCTTCATGAGTGGGTATTTTTCCTTTGGGAATAACTCTATTTACTTCTTCATACAGTGCTTCCTGTACTTGGGGATGTCTTGCCACATTGTAAAGTGTCCATATGAAAGCACTTGATGTCTTAAAAAAACAATTTTCCAACAAGAAAGTTAATAGGGTGGTGATGGTCATGACAATGTGCATTACTTAAGACAAACAAATTTTAAGTAAGTCACAAAATCAAATGATGTGCAAGAAAGTTACTTAATAGATTTAGTTGCAGAATTGTATGTGACATTAAAAATGACAAATATGTCAGAGATATGATATAGAACTATGTCAAGAACAGTACTTGTTAAAACCAAATCAATACAAACATGTACATGTACCAAATTTAAATGAAAACTGGTACACATTAAATCTGAATCTAGAATTGAAGAATTGCTGATTTTAATGCATTTTTATCGCTAAAATGGTCACCATTCAGCCCTCTTGAAAAAAGAAAAGGAAAAACTTTGATTCACTGTATACACTATACCTCACAAAACAATTGTTTAATGTACATGATAGGCAATTTATTTACCGTATCTACTGCTGCCATTAGCAATTCAGTTGCATCTGCATATATCTCAGATGATGATAAAGATTTTCTCCCTACCATGTAAGTCAGGAAATCCACATCTCCTGTAGCACCTAACTTCACAATTTCATCCACTCTTACATCAATCAGCTTTTTGGCTGAAACACAATACAGTGAATTTCATGAAGGCATGATTGTTGACTGTTGAAAACAACTTGACCAATCAAAGCATTTTAACAGATGCATAGTAGTAAATTGCATGACTGGAGGAAACCCCTCTAAAGGGTAATGTTTTATTATGAATATATTATTAAATTCCATAAAAACATTCATGCCTTTATGAAATTCACTGTATGATAGATCAACTGTTTCATTGAAATGTGATGATTAGTACTTAAGATATCAGAGGAAAAGCCAAAAATTTACATACTATTATGTAAATCAGATAATTAAAATGCAAAGATTTTTAATTCCAAACAAAACAGGTCTGTGCATTGTTCTAGAGCATCTATGTACCAAGTTTCACTGAAATATTATTACCAGGTATTACTTGTTACTTGAGATATCAGAGGGGAAAAAATGTTAAAATTAGGTAAGTAATATGCAAGGATTTTTACCAAAAATTTAATCAGGTCTGTGCATTATCCAAGCTGAATCAAATTAAAAGCTGAATCTGTACCTGTTGTAAAAATGTTATCCCACGCTGTGACATGTTTCCTCCAAATAGGAGTCCTGAGAAACTTCTGAATTGTTGCTGGCACTACAAATAGAAGCAGTGTTGTACTGAACACATCATGAACACTCTGTATGAATCTATGTGCTTCTGGATGTGGCTTGTCATCTAATAAACCCATTTTTTTGCTCAAAATTACAGAACATGCACCTGCAATAGACAAGACATTTTTATACAGTTGTGAATTCAATATTTTATTTTTGATAAGATGTAACCCTGCAATGAGAATTGAAAAAATATTTCCCTGTAAAGCCAAAAACAAATTATTGTTTTTTAGCTGTTTCAGATAAATATACAAAAGCATTCAAAAACTTTAAACATTGAACTCATCTCTTGTTTTTGTGGTATTAAGTAAACATAATAAAACAAAAATTAAAGGACAAGAAGCAAAACCTTTTTTTGGCCTTAATTACTCAATATTCTTTCGTATTTAAGACAACTGTGCAAACATACATGTAGTTAAACTATTAATACATTGCCTGCTGCACCGTTTTTCCCATTCATTTGATACACATATATGTAAAAACTTTTACCAGGAAATGTGTTACGCCCTAATTTTCATACCATATAGACATTGAACTACACATAAATAGTAGTGTACCAAACAGCCTAATGGCTTGATTAATACAAAACTCATTTGTTAATTTATTTATTCGTGTAAGCTGACGACAATCTAAAAAAAATATATATTACTTATAAATATTCAATTACTTACTATCAAGTGCCCATGAAAATAATATATTTTCGATATCTGGAACAAGATTATTTTCATTCGCTGATGTTCGTGTTCTTTCTATTTTGGCAAGCATGTCAGTGATAACATCATTAACAGGATCAGTATAGGTTGCAACTTGTTTGGGTCGTAGCATTCGTTTACTCAGTGCCACCCTGTTACGATGCCAGTCAGCACCTTCACTGTAACACAATAGATTTGGTGGTTATCACATGACGTTCCCTGACCAGTAAATGGGAATATATGACACTTATGAATGCTAGAGGCATTCTTTGTTGATGCTAAAATTTAGTAAACAATCTAATGTAAAACCATTTATTTTCACTGACATTTAATTTCACTGTTTACATGATTTGAGAAATATTGCATTGGGCTTTAAGTACATGTATTTTGCAGGGCAAATAATTATTTTACGTGTTCACGTGGGTTTAATTTATTGAATTTTACTTATTATACAAAAATAGCAAATTTAAAAACTATTGAAAAATTAAGACATTTACAGTACTTAAACTATTACAACATGTATATGTGTTACTATGACAACACCGCAAAGTATGCACTAAGGCAGTACAATGATAACTTTATTATTATTATTATTTTTTCCTGCATGTAACAGCCCAAAATGCCAACAGAAAGTATTCTTGGTCGTGTCATCTTTTGCGTTCAGTGACATGATTCAATTTCAGTATGCAAGAATGTGACATAACTGTGACATAAATTTGTCAAATAAATTTTACAGACGGATGTTGTATTCGGTGTCAGATGCATGATATTTTTGGGGTCAAGAGCATTAAGTTGAAAAAACACCTCAAAACAAAAAGATACCAAATAAACAAGAAACTACTAAAATACCAACACAGAACATTATAGACATAATAAGAGCTATAGAACACACACTATACAAGATTGGCTTTATTCTAGCCTTGTTTGTGAGTGTGTTTGTCTCAGTAACTTCTTCTCTTTGACAAATTTTGATGAAACATTGATCCATTACAGGACTTCGAGACAAATGAAAGTTTACAGGTACATACTATAAAATAAAATATTCAATGAGCCTGGGTCTACAACTTTTTGGGATTTTACCTCAAAAGTCAATGTCAAATTAATGATTTTGTTAGAATTTCAAAATTTTTCTGACCAAAACTATCTCCTTCAACATCTTTCACAGTATCGCTTTCTAAGTACAGTTTAACATTGTCTGACCCATGCTCTACAAACATTTTTTTTTTTTAATTTGTTTCATTCACAAAATTACAACCCTTTGAATTGGCGCTTGGACTTCTTCAGCTCCTGGCTTGTTAGTTTTTCTTGATTTGGGGTTATTTTTTTTCTGGGCCTTACACTCTGCTTCATTAAGACATGAATAGTTTTTGATGTAAATTTATAAAATTTTCATTAACATATTTACTCATTTATCCACTTAAGGGTAGCAGTGATTGGTCAAGTTGTTTACAAGTTTATAAAACTTTTATAAATATTTTATAAAAAAAAAAAAAAACTTGTCTCCATGAAAGGGAGTGAATTTTCAGGTGGGTACCATACCTCAGCAAAACGCCCATATCCTCTTTCAAGTCACTTCTCGCAAGAACCCAAGGTGAAAATTCCACTCGTCTTGGATATTTTCCTTCGTGTCTGCAAACTTTTTCTATATCTATAACATCTGTCAGCATGATAAATACAATAGAACCAAATTGCTGCCTCCATATTGGGCCATATTCTTTTTTAAATCTTGATAGCATGTTAAAAGGCTTATTAAACTCTCCATTCAAAACATTACGAATGTTAAAGACCATATTTCTAAAGAATCCCAACGGCGTACCAGGTAACTCCTCAAAAGGTTTGACCGGCGATCCATTATGCTTACGAGTCTCGTACAAACTCTGTGGATTCGATGCACTTGAACGTACGGCAATCTGTGTCAACAGGCGGGGTTTTAAGAGTACAGTAGCCCTCTTACTCGAAAGTTGGCTCACAGCGACTGCCATTTTGGTTCCTAGATACAAATAACTTCACGAGGCATTTGCGCCCTCTGTGTGAAGTAAGTAAATCAAGGTGGCATTGACACAGACCACAGGTCACATTTTATGTAACGATTGTACGTTGACAAAAACGTTGCCTCTTTATGGCCAGAAAAGAATACAACAGAGGTTGACTGATAACAGCGTCCAGACAAACATTGATGAGTGTCGGCAAGGGGTATTTCCGTAAGCTATAATCAATTGTTTTTATTTTCGTAATAATGTAATTTAAATAAATAAAAAAACTTAATTCGTAGAAATGGACAAGGTGTAAAATGTGATCAGCTATTTTATTAAGTGTAAAAACCTGTTTTGTTCCTGTAAATGAAACTTTCATTTTATTTCCTGTAAAAACGTAAAATGTCTTTTCATATTTCCTGTAACCTGTACCAGATACCCCCTTGTCCCACCTCTTATTGATGGTATTCTGGATAGATAGTACCCGCTGAATTCTCAGTAATCCATGAAAATGTATATGGGAATGTGATTTATTTGAATGAAACAAATTCTCCAGCTCATTGATAACAACAAATTGTTGCTAATTCTTTTTCCGTGGGTTTTCAATCAAATTGTTGTGAGCTTAAAAGGTTCCGAATCCAGTTAGGATCACTTTCAACAAAGCGTCTGCATCTATCTGTCAGGATCAGTCTATTACAGGTTCCAGAGTCATAACGGCTTCTTGGTCTACTGTATTTACGCCTACTGTGACTATTTTTAGAGAGTGTAATCGAGTATTGGCATGTAAATTAAAATATAACTAAACAGAAACTTGACTTGGCACCAATCAGTAAAAAGGAAACTGACAAATTTGGTAGCAGAATAATTTTTTATCGGATCTAAATCAATTTGAATAGATTAAACAGTTAAATGACGTCATATACTTGTTGAGTACAATCAGCACATTCCCATTCCCAGAACACGTCACTAAACTGTTGGGAACATTTCGTTTTTCCAGAGGGACAGGAATTGTTCAATTATGCGCTTCCATACAAGTTGATACATCACTGACTCAACAATTGACATGCATAGTTATGGTTGGTTTCATTTATCTTCAAGATTGGTTTTTAATGTTTTTCGCAATGCGTATAATGGCTACATAACTATGGACGGTTTTTAAAACGAAGAACACTAAGACGATCTCACTCTCAACACTTCTCAAACATACTGATATTTGTGTTTAATAATTGGTAACCATATCTTTCTAAATATTCCCAACATAATTGAATTCCTTTTCTAAAATAATCATTATCAGTCGTTTGTGTTTTCAGCTGCTCACTTCCAAGAACTGCTATATTAGCCATACGCGTGGCTACAAATACTTGAAGAACTTTTCTTTCGAAGTCATTTAGACGAAAGTAAGATTCATAACCAGCAAGTACTGTTTTCCCTATTGCGAGGGGGTCGCCATGGTTGCAGTACATCATGAAATGAGCAATTGCTATAGCAATTTCGTTCACATAGTAAGAATATTGTGTATCTCCAAAGTCCACAATGCCGTTAATATCATATGCTATGTCAATATCACATTCGTCTTGTTGTACATGTTCAACATTTTTGTCACTTTCCGTTCTTGATTGTAACCGATTCTTGGAAACAATTACATTATTTGGGTTATAATCTCCATGTATTATCCCTGCAGAAGAACAGAAAACATCGTAAGTATTGAATTTATTCCATTTAATACTAAACCAAAGTGTATGTATGTTTGCATGGATTGTTTAATATGAACTTTCACTTGTCCCACTTTCAGAGATACAATTGCTGAAACTAACAATTCACAGCCATAATTGGTAATCTCCCCACTCGCAAGTTAAAAACTCGTGGTATCGGTTTTGAGAATAACTAATTATTTGACTTAATGTATTGTTATTTTGTTTGTAGATTGGTATTTTGACATACCGATGGTCAAATTTTTTTTTCTCTTATAATAATTTTGTGAGGTTCTTTATGATGGTAAATTTCATTTCTCAGTATAGCGAAGTGTTGGCAACACATCACGTTTTAAAACCATACTTAAATATAAGTGACGCGCCTACGTACCTATTACTTTGTAATCACAAGCACATGTTCGACAGAATTGTGTGTAAATCGGTAATATTTTGTAATATAATTTTACAATTTTAATAAAAAAATCTCACCACATAAGTTAAATATATATTAGGGAAAATCACGGAAGAGAATCGCGTACATGTTGCTTTCCTGCGATGTTTGTTAAGCATTGAACCGTCAAGAGCAGTCATATTATGGGCGTATATCCTACTGAAGATATTTACCCTTAGAAGTGGAGACCTAGAAACTACGTAATCCGCCAATGACTTGCAGCTTGCATTGTGGACATCATGTCTATTTAACAGACGTGTTTGGGAGTCGGAACATGGAAGCTGGGCACCTTGGTGTCAGACTGACTTGTAATAATATGGTCTATCTCTAATTAATACAAGTGTAAATTCCTTTGGGTCGAACTTAGTATCTCTACAATGTAAAAGTTAACCTCCACGCTCGCCAGAATTCCCCACATTCACAACTTAACAGATGTATCAGTAGTACCTTTACGGAGTTCCCCTATGTTTGGAATGACTTGTTCTTTGAACACAGATATGACTTCCTCTATCAGCTGTCTTCTTTTATCATTATCGATTACATGTAAACACTTTTGCAGAAACTTGACGTCATCTGTATTAAACACAGCATTTTCATGTTCAAAACCATTATGGTGGAAGTTCTATAAGTTAAGATTAACATACAATGTGCGTTTATTCAATGCTATATTCAAATACATATAATACAGCGCGCGTGTTCGAAAATGTGTTTACACGGACTGCGCATGTCCCTTCAGTATACTGCGTCAACATTCAATGCATATCTACCTAGCAAAAAACATAAAATACAAATAACACAAAATAGTAAAGTGACAAATCAATGTAATTAATTCATTCATTGGAGAAAGGCTATTCTAGCTGATATTTTCGAGTTGCAGATATGCGATAGATAGTAATCATTGGCATCGACATTACGTCTTAGTCACAAGTGTCACTTCCATCACCACAATATTACGTATTATCATTGTTGCTTGGGACCAATACTGGTAACACAAAATATGACGTTATATGGATGATATACACTATATATACTTACCCTGAGTGCATTATCTATACGGCCAAGTAGACTACCTGCATTGTAACTCATTGTGGCAGATGGTTGTAGAATTTCACTGTATGACATTCCACTTATATATTTCAGCATATACACAGCATGATATCCATATTCTGAAAAATAAATAAATAATCATTCATTAGATATTGCATCGGTACTCAGGGACGAGTCTTATAACAATTTGGAGTGTAGTGTGAAAAATATAACGAAAATTGTATAAATTAGTGAGTTCATAAAAAAACGGAAATATCAAAGGGGTAAATCTTTTCCTCTAGGGGTTCTCCACACTTGTCAGGGGGGAAACTCGTCTCGTCTCTCTATCTCGTCCCCTTGAGGTACGGGATCGGGAAAGTCACTTATACTTTACAGTCAAATAAGGCACACACAACGAAATACGTTTCAACTCTCGTCTTAGTCGGTCAATCGAGCACTCTATAAGACACAGCGCCCTGGGGGAAAGTCCCCAAGACTCTCACAAGGCTGAACCAAGACTCTTTTAGACTGCGTCAACACTCGTCCCAAGGCTCTCCAGGACTGGCCTCGACTGCCCAGGACTGCACTTTCTCTACTGTGCTGTGCTCCCCAAGACCAACTCAAACTCTCTTTATTCATTTTCAAAACTCTAACCAATTACAAAACAGTAAAAGACTCTAGGGCGTAACCTTCAATCATAAAGCCAATCACACTAAGTACTGAATACGTCATATATTTTGATTAATCGTTCACTACATTAATAACTATGGAATATAAACTGTCAGAATCGCGACGGTTATCTGGTAATTAGTTCCAAATCACTGAGCCAAGTTCCGTCCAAAACTTCAAATAGGCCTGAACGATGACAGACATAACACAGCGATTCGCTCGTAATCAACTAATTAAGTCGGTTAACAGATACGCAAAAACAAATTCATGACAGAAATATCAATCTAGAATTTTTTTCGATCTACTAACATACTTGTTGCATCACG